GGGTGGGGGACTTCAGTCTGGTACAGGGCCAATTAAGGATATTTTTGACTGTTTTGCAACCTTTCCACGGACCACCTGAACGTGGAGTTCATACACCACTGTTTATAAACCACTGATCTCAAGGGATGACAAGGCAAATGGTTCCATGGAATGTGTATAAACACAACGTTTTCAAAACCCATTTGCAGAACTGGAATATAAATATTGAAATACTGAATAAAAAACCCCAGCTACTAACTTTTAAAAAAAACACCCAGCGACTTCAGTGTTGCTGTGATGCAGACTCCAGAAACCATTTGTGACAGGAGTTGAAAATAAGATGTAGAAAGCATTCCCAGTACATGCGTAGAATGCATTACCACCTTGTGTGACATCAATGAAATACGCTGCGACAGAAGTGAGAGGCGGCGCAGGCATTATGGGACTCCAGGGATTTGCTGCATTGCTTCTGTCTTGAATTACAGCTAAGGATTTCCTCCTGTCAGGAAAGTGACAGCTGTAAATAAATAAATCCTGCCTGCAGCCAGCCTTGTGTACAAGAGAGAGTATAGAGGAGGAAACTCCCCTTGGCTGTGCTGGTTCAAATGTTACAGGGAATAATTTTTTTAAAAAAATTAATAATTAAAAAATGGTTTTTTAAAATTTAAATCTGATATTTTATTATTTAAATCAGATTTTTTTATTTAAATTGGATTTTTGAAATAAAATGCTTTTGGAGGAAAAACCTTTCTAAATATAGTTTCCTATTTAAGTTACATTATAGTTCAAAGGCTACTTATCAGGAAATGATTTTTCATGGACGCTAAAACTCAGTTTAAGTTATTTTTTTAAAAGAAAAAGTTTAACTACATCAGTTAACAAACATGCATACATATGCTATAATGTTATTGCTTTAGTTAAATAAATTGTTTAAATTGTTATTAAGGAAATGATTGATGTTTCTCCTTCCAATAAAGTACAGCAGAAAAGTTGTCCAAATGTAAACAGTTAACTTATTAAACCTCACAAGAATTTCATAATGATCTGTCTATGTATTTCTAATAGTATAACCAAATCCGTAATTTTTGATAAAAAAACCTTAGGCTGAGTTTTAGCACACATGAAAAACTTAAAACAAATCCTTATTTCCTGATGAATAGGCCTTTGGACGATAATGTAACTTAAATAGAAAACTATCTTTAGAAAGATGTTTTCCTCCAAAAGCATTTTATTTTAAAAATCCAATTTAAATTTTAAAAAAATCTGATTTTAATTTAAAAAATTGATTTTTTAATTTTATTTTTAAAATCATTGATTTTTATCCACCCTGGCCCGAAGAGGATCTCTTCAGGCGGGAGCGGGGGCGGGTATCCTTCACCAGCCAGAGGTTTCTTGAAGCTGCTCAGAAGAGGCAAGGGGAGCCTTCCGAGCCTCAACTGAGCTACTAAATTAAGGCCTCTCCCTGCACCTCTGGTTCGAGTGAACTGAATCAGTGTGGGGGCTGGCTCAGCTGAGTCACGGTTTTCCCGCACATCATCTGTTAGCCAGGAGGCTGAAGAGCCTCAGCAAAGCCCTGCCGCACCTCCGGCTCCCGAGGAGACCCTTTCCGGAGCCTGGTAAAGTCTCTCCCCCCCACTTGCGGGTAGAAAAGGCAGTGGCCATAAAAGTGTTGACGTGGACTGTATATAAATATGAAGAGATAATGGTACAGTGGTACCTCGGGTTAAGAACTTAATTCGTTCCGGAGGTCTGTTCTTAACCTGAAACTGTTCTTAACCTGAGGTACCACTTTAGCTAATGGGGCCTCCCGCGGCGGCGGCGCGATTTCTGTTCTCATCCTGAAGCAAAGTTCTTAACATGAGGTATTATTTCTGGGATAGCGGAGTCTGTAACCTGAAGCGTCTGTAATCTGAAGTGTCTGTAATCTGAGGTAAAGGTAAAGGGACGCTTGACCATTAGGTCCAGTCATGACTGACTCTGGGGTTGCGGCGCTCATCTCGCTTTACTGGCTGAGGGAGCCGGCGTACAGCTTCCGGGTCATGTGGCCAGCATGACTAAGCCGCTTCTGGAAAACCAGAGCAGCGCACGGAAATGCCGTTTACCTTCCCGCCGGAGCGGTACCTATTTATCTACATGCACTGGCATGCTTTCGAACTGCTAGGTTGGCAGGAGCTGGGACCGAGAAACGGGAGCTCACCCCGTCGCGGGGATTCGAACCACCGACCTTCTGATCGGCAAGTCCTAGGCTCTGTGGTTTAACCCACAGCGCCACCCGCGTAATCTGAGGTACCACTGTACTAATATTGGGAATGGCTGCAGCTTGGAGCGCCTGCTTTGTCAGCAGAAAGTCCTGGGTTCATTTCTGAGCATCTCTAGGTGGGTCCGGGAGAGAGCCCTGCCTGAAATAGCTGGAGTGTTCCTGCCAGTCAGTGTAGGCATTATGGAGCTGGATGGACCAAATGGTCTGCCTCAGTAGAAGGCAGCCTCCTGTGCTCTACAGGTAAGCCTATTGGCTGTGTGGGTGGGGTGGAGCTTACTCAGCCAAGGGAGGTGCTGCTGAATATAAATGGTGTGGTCAGTCTGGAAAGATGCACCAGCAGCACTGACCAAGAGTGCCAGCATGCATAAAATCATCAGGAGGCTGCGGAAAGGAGTCAAGAAGGTAGGCAAAGTTCTCATGGAAAATACATTTCCTGTTCTGCTTGGCCTCTTCCTAGGATATGATTATTTCTGAGTAGGCGTTCAGCACTTGCTTCTAATCATGGAGGGAAAATTTCCCAAGGCTGGTGTCAGCTTTTGAAGAGCTGTCCTCAAAAGGCACATTAGCTAAAGCAAGATTGAACTTTAATCTTGGGAAATGCAGTGGTCTCTGTGAACCTCTCGCAGTGGTTTTTTTTTTTTGAAGTGGGGTTGTAGAAGTGTAATCTAAGGACTTTTCGCTGGCTTGTATTATTTAATGAACTGCTTTCCGTGTGCCTCCCATCACCATGGGTATACTGGCAACCATCCGCGAGCTGGAAAAAGTAGCTCTAATTTGTCTGTGTTGTGCATCGTTAAAGCAAATTATGTTAACAGAGCTGCTGCCAGGCTGTTGGGAATGGTCACTTCCTGTCCCACTGGATAATATTTCCTTCCAAGTAAGAAGTTCAAACCTATGATTCAGCACCTTGAAATCTTGCATTGGATTTAAATGTGGGAAATACTTATCCGCTTTGAGGTGAAGTTATATTTTGAAACTGTAGTCGCCTTCAGGATGTCTAAGTGTCCATGAGGGATAGAAACTTGTGTTCTTTTTTTAGTGAAAGCTGAGAGTCTCAACAGGGTTCGGCGGTATATGACTCTGCAACTTCTTGTTTTTATTTCTGTTTTGAGGTGGCCTAATAAACAGCATTTCCGTGCGCTGCTCTGGGTTCTCCAGAAGCGGTCTAGTCATGTTGGCCACATGACCCGGAAAAACTGTCTGTGGACAAACATCGGCTGCTTCGGCCAGTAAAGCAAGATGAGCGCCACAACCCCAGAGTCGTTCGCGACTGGACTTAATTGTCAGGGGTCCTTTACTTTTTTTAATAAAAAGTTGGCAGCTGCAGGGGCAAAGGCCAAGATGGAGTTGTTTGTGGAAATATAGGGAAGGGCCATAGCTTTTGCCTGAAACCCTGGAGAGCCACTGCCAGTCAGAATTGACAGTATTGAGGTAGTTGAACCAGTGGTCTGACTCGTTATAAGGCAGCTTCCTGTGTTTCTGTGCCTTGAGCCTAGGCAAAACCAAGATTTGTGCTGTGGCCATTATTTGGGTTTTTGGCCCTTCCTCCTCTCACCAATCCATCTTGAAATGGTAGGGAGCTCTTTGCTCTGTCCTGGAGCTGGAGGACAGAGTTGGTGTCCACTTGTTCCAGCTCCATCTTTTCCCTGGGAGAAGTTGCACCAGAAGTCTTTGGTCTGGGTTCAGCGTTATGTCCAGCGCACAAGGAGGATATCAGCGCTCTCCTTCTCCTCATCTCCAACAATGGAGGTAGAACATAGCCATCCAACTTAGTAGCCATGGATGGCCTTATTACCTTCCACAAATTTGTCTAACTGCTTTTCAAAGCCACCAGAATTGATCCCCTACATTTTGTGGTAGGAAATTCCATAACTTAACTCTGTGTGTGTGAGAGAGGAAATGCTTCCTGTTGCCTCTCTTGAATCGCCCAACTTTTGGTTTCATTCAAATGAAACCAGCTGAGAATGACCAGCTTTCTAGTTATTCTACTGAGGAAATGTTTCTAAGTGGATTACTTAAATTCTCTGCTCAAGCAGTTTTTTCTTTCTTTGTCACTTCCACGTTTCCACCTGAAACTCTTTCACCCAAGTTGTCCCCTGCCCCTGGTGAGCTGTCATGGCTTCCCACAAAGAATTGTGGGAACTGTAGTTTGTTAAGGACGAAGAGAGTTATTAGGAACCTCCCCTTCCCCTCACAGAACTACAGTTCTCAGGAGTTCTCCGGAAATAGGGATTGATGATTAAACCACTCTTCTCTGTGAGGGGGAATAGGGGTCTCGTAACAGGTCTTAGGACCCTTAACAAATGACACCTCCCATTATTCTTTGGGGGGAAGTGGTGACTGTTTAAAGTGGCATGATACTGCTTTAAAAGTATCTTACAGATACAGTCATACCTCATGTTACGTCCACTTCATGTTAACGTTCTTTCAGGTTACGTCCTGCTGCGACCTGGAAGTACCGGAAAGGGTTACTTCCGGGTTCCGCCGCTCGCTCATGCGCAGAAGCGCAAAACGACGTCATGCGCAGAAGCAGCAAATCGCAATCCGCGCAGGCACAAACGCACCACTGGGGGTTGCGTTCTTTTCATGTTGCGAACGGGCCTCCGGAACGGATCCCGTTCGCAACCAGAGGTACCACTGTGGAGCTTGACAGTGAGGGGGAAGCAAGATAAATGTGTGAGGATGCAGTTAAGACTGACTGTGCTTCTCCTTGGCTCAACTAGATGAGGCAAAACATTTCTATTTAGGCAATTTTTTATGAGAATAGCTCAGTTGGTAAAGTATAAAACTCTTAATCTGAGGGTTGTGGGTTCAAGCCCCAGATTGGACAAAAGATTTCTGCATTGCAGGGGGTTGGTTTCGATGACGCTTGTGGTCCCTTCGAACTCTGCACTTCTGTGATTCTAAGTATGCTTTGTAGATAGTTCTGTACATGCAATTCTATCATTGGGATTGCGCTGTGCGGTTTTCTAAAAGTGTCTGGGGAGCGGGAAGAGGCAGGCCAGAAAATGCTTTCTGTAAATAGCATGTGAGATTTTCACTGAGGTTCTTCTAAAACCAGTTTTTAATCTGGCGAAAAAGGGATTCATCACTGCACACACCCCTCTCTTTCTCTTTCTTTCTCTTCTGAGAAATACTGTAGAATCCTTTGCAAAGCAAAAGGTGCACTCAGTCCAAACCAAGAAGTTCATGTATAACCAGTCCGGCAGCCTGCTTGTTGCTCCTCTGCTTCTTTGAGTGCCACCCGCCACTTTGCTTAGTCACAGCTTTTGAACAGGCACAAGTAGGTCAGCTGGAGCGAGGCAGCCTTGTGAAGCAGGGATAGTATTTCCAGACCAGTGCTGTGCGGAATCGAAGCACGACGCCCCCTCTTTTTACTATGATTTGGTCTGGAGTGCTTTGGCTTTGACAGTCCGGTAGCATGTGGAACTTGCTGCAAGTCTCACCCCCAGCTTAAACATTCTCGCCTGAACCTTTTAGAATCATAGAGTTGGAAGGGATGTTGAGGGTCATCTAATCCAGCCCCTTGCAACACAGGAATATGCAGCTGTCCCATACAAGGATCGAACCTACAACCTTGGCGTTATCAGCACCACGCTCTAACCCACTGAGCTATCCAGCTTAAGTCCCTCTTGCTCAACAACACAACTATGGAATGCTCTTCAAAGTGAGGCCCACCCATGGCCGACTTTTAACGCATTTTTACACCAGGTTAAACCTTCCTCTTTCCCCGGGCAGATGGCTTCACCTTAGCTTGGTCCACATGCTGTTGATGTTTCTACTGTTCTGTTGCTGATGGGATTCGTGAGGTGGTTGTTTTGTTAGTGTTTCAGATTTCATAGGTTTGTAGAGTTGAAAGGGAAATCTAGTCCAACTCCCTACATTGCAGGTATCTCAACTAGAACATCCATGACAGATAGGCATCCAACCTCTGCTTAAAAATCTCCAAGGAAAGAGAGTTCATCACCTTCCAATGTATTGTTTGCCATAGTTGCAACTCTGTAATTTGATTCGGTTGCCCAGAGACTATTTTTGTCTGGTGGCTAATGAAACAACACTTGAGCATCGCTTGCTCTTTCTGTACCTGGGCTTCACAGATTCATCTTCAGGAATATAGAAAGCCGCCTTCTATGCAGTAGGCTCATTGACCCACCTCACTCTTGTTGCTGACACTGACTGGTGATGACTTTCCAGGTGTTTGACTAAGGACCTTATTGCTACCTGGCAATGTCAGTGACTGACCATGGGACCTTTAGCCTGATACTAAATTCTGATCTACTGTTCACCATCTTACCTCTTAAAAAGTTGCTCCAGGTGATTGGGAGATCTTCCAGAATGATGTTCTGTGTCAAAGAGTGAGCAGGCAGTAAATCACACTGTTTGAAGTTGGAGTCAATTCTTTATTAGCAGACTTGGCTGAGGGTCAGGCCTAATGAGCACAGCAGCTCATTCCCAGCTAGCCTTCATGGAATCAGTTGCCGGGATTGAAAGTGCCTGCCTCTCCACAGCCCTTCTCTCCAGGGCTTTCCCCAAACAATCAGAGACTGTGCCTGCATGCAGCCTGTTGCTGCTCTGCCCATTTCAGCCCTCTTCTGGTTCTGCTCACTAAGCCCTGTTACTTCTTCAGCTTCCCATACCTCCTCCTCCCAGTTTTCCCATACCTCCTCCTCCCAGTTTTCTCCCTCTTCTCCTTCTGACCACCCATCGTTGTCCCACCACCACTCACAGGGCTCTGAGCCTTCTTTCCTTGGTGGTTCCCCAGTTGCTTCCTCCCACCATCCCTCTGTGTCCAACCAGCCCATGACATCCTGATGCAGTTCAAGGTGCTGTAGATGGAAATAAAAATTGAGAAACTCACCTTGAATTTGTAGAAATCAGCCCTTTTCATACCAGCTTGTCCACCGATTTATGGATTTATCATTAGCTTTTTCTAATCGATATTCAAAGCGACTTATGACCAAATAATTTATATTGCCTCACATTTTATTTTCAACATGAACTTTATTTTCAGAACAAGTTTTGGGAAAGTACTTGGTTGTGGTCTCCAAAATGAGATTTCGATCAGCCTTAAATTGTCTTTGGAGCTGAATGGCAGAAGATAGGATTTGTATGTGCTTTCTGAAATACAGGCTGAATCACTGCTATCTCCCCTCCATTTCCTAGGAAAGAGTATTGTTTTGTTGATGTAGGAGGTAGAGGTTTAAAATGTGCTGCTAGAGTACATTTGAATGAAAATACTGAAAATCATGTCAGTGGTGAAAATAGAATGTTTTTCAGGTCAGGTTGCCTTTTTTAGGGGGGGTGGGAATGAAAAAAAATCAAAAACAAATTGAAGGCTCTGGAGATGGAAATAAGTATCTGTATTTATTGTATGAAAAACACCTCTCCAATATGAGATTTAAAGGGATGCTGCATGCTGGGTTTGCAAAGGGTAGGTGTGGGAAGCAATATTGGCTTATAAAGCTGTGAATTGACCCAGCAGAACCATCTGAATGCTCTCCACTATTCCCTTTCTGCATAAAAGGATGTCAAGTCAAAAACTGAGAAAGAAATACTTTAAAATGCAATGCATAACAATAAAACCACAGGAGAATCAAGTTTGCGAAGTACTTAAGCGTGATATAATTAAGAGCTTGAAGAAAAGCTAAGGTGCAGTTTTCAAGAGCATGGCAGAGGTGCAAGAGCTCCATTTTAAAAAAAACCAGGGCTAAGCTCTTAAGTATTTCTGACACCCAGTTCCTAAACCGGCTGGGTGACAACGTAGAAGTTAGGCCCGTTGATCTCAGTGATGCGTATTTTAGATGCTTTCAGTGCTGGTATTGCTCTTTAGCAGTGGGCGGTTGCAGCATTTAGATAGGGTGGTGTCTCAGCAGCTCTTGTGCAAAGTTAAGTGCTTTAATTTTACTATAATGGGTTTGGCATTGAGGCACAAGCCTGCGCTTCTCTGCAGACTTTGGAAGATGCTTGTCAGTGTGTACATAGCTGTGACTTTTTCATTACCTTGCTTTGTTATCTTGCTTAGCGCAGGTGGGGCTGATGGAAGCTGTTGCCCAAAACACCTTGCGGTGTGCCAGGTTTGGGGAGGGGGTGGTGTGGCAGATTGGAAGAGCAGCTATAGTGTAACTTCTCAGAAACATACCTGTGTGTTAGCTCAGACATTCTTAGGGACCATGTCAGGGAGCAATCATTCTGATAAGATGAGGAGTGACGGTTAACCTGGCTGAATCCAACTGCTCTTCATGGTACAAATTCTTGTACAGTTTCTCAGCAACTATGTCGCGTGTTAGAAACTGGGGTACAAAAGCTATTCACCCCATGGCTCCTGGAACCTCGACCGTGGGTGCGAAAACAAAATGTCTGTAGTCACATTTTTAAAAATTCAAAAACACTTTTTATTTATTTTATTTTATTTTAGAAAAGCATGAACTAAAGACTTGCCTCTTTTTAAAAATAATAATAATTCAGCACTTTATTATTTTTTAGATTTGGAGGAAAACGTACAACTTTTGAGATTTACAAACAATCCTATGAAAACATTGCCCAGTAAACAGCTTAACTCTAAAACTTAACATAACTAGACTGGCTAGCCTCTCTAGTAAGTCGGTTGCCAGTCCATAGCTTTTAAGTACCGTACATAATTTCATCTGGGCTCCATATCTCAGCAGCATGTAGAATGGAAAGATTGTCTCCAGGCAGAGGGCCTTCTTGGTAGTGACGTCCTCCCTTTAGATGTCAGGGAAATAAACAACTACAGTACCTGACTTTTAGAAGACATCTGAAGGCAGCCCTGTTTAAGGAAGTTTTTAATGTTTGATGTTTTATTGTATTTTTGCTATTATCCTGGGAGCTTTTCAGAGTGGCTGGGGAAATGCAGCCAGGTTAAAGACCTGCCTCTTTTGGTGCCATGTGAGCCAGGTGATCCATGAGGCACCAAAGACATGTGTCCTTTGGTACTGCCCTACCCCACAGATCATCTGATTTGCGCATGTATTTTGGTGCCGTGCTGCTGAGTGAATCAACTGATTCATGGGGCAGCGCGGCACCAAAAGAGGCATGCATTTTGGTGCTGACTGGTGCAACATTGCATCCACGCCAGCAAGGCAGATGTTCTGCCACGGAGCTACCGCAGTCCTTCCCTATTAAGGGAGGGGGATCACTTCAGACACCCACCTGTCAGTTTGGAGCTGGCACTGCTTAGCTTCCCCCAGCTGAAAGCAAGCTGTTGGCTGAGCCCACACAGAGGCTGGATCCAAAATGGAGCTTCGACCTGCCATTCTTAATAGCTGCACCAGTGGAACTTCTGCCTGTCATGCAAATATTAAAGGTGTGGGAGAGCAAAACAAATAAACAAATGAAACCAACCACATGGCATATCTAGTTGCACATTGTATCTGAGCCAGTAGCAACCTACCCCAGACATCACATTGTTGACTTGCATGAGTTTGAACAGGTGTACCTGCCAATGTTTTCCATGTTCACACAACTCATAAAGGCTTAGGAGTTGCACTAGGGTAAATTGCATGTTGCAGCAGCAGGGAGTGGGGGCTAGAGTTTAATCTTTGTCCTTCTCTACAGAGAAATACAACTCTGTAGTTGACATTTTTTGTTTTGTTTTCCTGTTATTGCATGTGCATATTTCCTAAAGCAATGTGGCTTATATTCTGCAAGCTGTGTCCTAGGCCTAGAGCCCATAAATTCAGCCTGCAGCTTAATGAATTGGTCCCTTATCAAGTAAATCATGAGTCCTAGGGAATTTATATGTCTGATTGCTTTGCACTTTTCTTTCTGTTTACCTAGCCTTTCATCTCCATTACTGCGCTAATAACACTT